TGGTTTGGGTTTCCCCTCTTTCATCCACATCTGACTGTGTAACATTTATGTATTTGAATTTAACAAACATGCCTTAGAAAACCAGCCGTCTGAGCAAGAATAGTCAGAAGCGCACGATCATGTCGGGCAGCTTCTGTCATTTGAAAAATGTGCAATGCTCACTGTGCCATGGGAAACTAGCTGCGGCTCCTACAAAGGATACTATTGTTGCTTGAATGATTAATGAGTTGTTGCATTTACACTGATGCTGTTATGCAATCCACATTAATGTGGCAGGGTGTGGTTTGTGTTTTGATTTACACATTTTTAAAAGGCACATGTATTTAAAGAGATTTTATCTAACGTTGCTGCTTTCTTTTATCAAGCAAAAGCAGTCTACCATGACCTTAAAGGCAAGGCTCGAAATTGCGACCATTTTGGTCGCATATGCTCCCGAAATTTAATCTGTGCGACCTCAAAATATATTTTGGAGCATTTGTGTGAGTGCAAATAATTGTTGTGGTGCGACCGGTTTTCATTTCTCTACAAAACGTTCGCTAAATACGGCACAGTATGCAACGGTTGTAATTTCAGCCGATCTCTGTGCCAGATTTGCACAAACTGCATTGCAATCATTTTCCAAAATGTCATTTGTGTGGAAATATTACGAAGTCGGTAAACGGCCGTTAACAGAGTCCAGAGACGCTGAAGACTGATGCAAAGAGGAGAAAATACTGTAGCAGGCAGAGCAGAAAACGTCGATAAATACCGATACCGTTTTATCGCCCAGGCCTACCTTTAAGTAAACTCAATGAAACTTATCTGTACAAAACGTTTAAGCAAGTCAACCTTAACTGCTTTGTTGTTCAAATAAGACACTTCAAACAAACCAATTCAAGGAGTGACTTTTCACCAGGGTAAATAGAAAAGTAATATTTCTTCCATAGCAAACAAATGTATTATCAAGGAGGACATTTGGACCACACAACAAACTATAGGCAGCTCAACATGAATTATCCACAGCCTAAGGCAGCTACTGCTCATGTGAATCCCCACGTGCTGCAAACTCGACAGCCAGGCATCTTTAAGTCAATCCCTGTGATGTCATCCAAGGCGAAAGACTACTCTAGAGCTTTTCTGGGATAGGATTACGGCTGCTCTGGATCGAGACTGATGTTCAGGGCATGAGGAATGAGCCATGTGATCAGCACACTTTCACACCAGTCACAGTGCTGGCTGCTTGGGTAAACTGACGGTTACATGGCTGATATTGTTTATTTGACTCACTGGCCACTGTTTAGGACTAGCGGTTCTGCTTTTGTTGCACAGTATAATCTGTGGTGCTCTGAAGAGTAGCGGTTTGTTAAGGAACGCTGTGAAGTTGACGCATAGGTCTGGGGCAGCGAGGTATGCTGCTAGCGGGACTCTCCAGAGTAATGAATCAAACCGTGGGCACTGGCTGTCGTCACATGGCCTTTTGGAGAAACCAAGAGAACAGTTAGTTCCTAGGAAGCTCCGTGTTGTAGAAGAAACAACTTACATTTTAAAGCTACAGCTTAACATCTAGCAATTAGACAAGTTAGAGACAATGCTCTTTGACTAGACATAATGTGAGCAGTCAGTCACTTTTATCCAGGTTCAATTCACCTGGAGCAAACTGCTCGATCTAGTGCTTCGTTCAAGGGCACATTGCTGATGGTGCATGTTGGCTCATATCAAATGAAAACATATAGTTCATCTATATATAAAGAAGCAAGAAGTCTAAAGCTGAGGGTCTCATATCAATTGAATATGGTGCCCGTGTTTATCAGGGCAGATGATTGTTATGGGAGCATTCTGGCTCAGTGCTAACACTGTAAGTGATATGAAGTCTCTGCCCCACCTGCTCTCATTCACCAGCTGTTCACAGGCCCACTGGTGAGGGGACACCTCTTAGATTTTCATAATTAACAAGTAGCACCTGCAGGTTCTTACCTGACAACCAGCTCACAATTAGCTCTCAAAAATAAATAAACAAAACAAGGAATTACACATAAACAGACTGATGTGAAGCTCTAAATATAAGCATTGGTTTTCAGGTGTCTGAAACACATCAAATACTCTCACATGCCACGATTGGTCAGTTACGCACAATGCCTGCACGCTATTTGTCAAACTCCTTTTCATTCATTACCATCAGCATGTAGGAAGGAAAAGGAAAACAAAGCCAAAACGTGAACATTTTAGGCAACTTAAAAGTCCCAGACAGGACATGTCCAGGAAAAAGAGGACGTATGGTTACCTTACAGGTATCACTATTACTATTAAATAGTGATGATCATGCAATCATGCACACTGCTGCAAACTGGACCAACTTAAAAAAAATAAAAAATAAAAGATTATTGAATTCCTGACTCTACTGATTAACTATGCTGACCACTTAAACATGCTTATCAGCAGAACTTTTAAGCATGTTTTCATCATTAACACTCTCTAAACTGTTTTACCAATTAAGTTAAGTTGCCAAAAAACATTAATAACGTCATGTAGACAAAGAAATGAGGGAGCAGAGACCTCCAAAGCACAGTCCACTCTTGTTCTTCAGTTTCAGGTGTGCTGGAAATATTGTATGACTCAGAGGAAAAAAGCTCTAAGATCATGTAACTTTCAACCTGTTTACTGCAAACCATAAAACAACACACTTTTCTGGGTATTACACAAGGTCTTTGTGGTTCTGCGTAAACTATACAATGAAAAGAGCAGCAGAACATCTCTAAAACAGCCCATTTATTCTGTAACTCTTTATGATGTAAACCCAAGAGCAACACACAATTATGGCATTAGTCTGAACACTCTGAATTAAAATAAAAGCCTATAAACTTCACCATGACTAACAGACAACTTTGAGTTAGCAGAGCTACAGAACAGTAAGTGTTAAAACATTCTGCTTTAAACATAAACCAATGTAAAATAACCACTTAGTGAACTGTCCTGGGGTGTGACATGCTAAACTGCATATAAAACTACGTCAAACAGCATTTCTCGAATTGCATTATAATTATGGTTCATGCAGCTTTCATGACTTCATATTAATCTAGAAACTGAATGAAATATTTCTACTTTAAAAAAATAATTTGTCATAGAACATGTTGAAAAAAAAGTGAATGTCCATGTTCATTTGTCAACTATGCAAGAATAAAAACAAATACAAAATCATAATGAGGCTGATGTGTTAATCTGTGTTTAAACTACGAAGCCTTAGCTACTATTATTTTCAAGGCCCACACAAGAGAAAAACAAGCCCAAATGGTCTAAAACCCCAAGACTTTGTTTGCATGTTAGGGGTGGCTGCCTTCACTAAACAACAAGCTGACAAAAGAGCTTGTAAATACAGAGCTGAATAATTCAGGGCTGAGTGTAACCGTACCCACACATTGTAGGGATTCAAACCATGGCAGCAAGTGCCCACAGCTTTCATTTTAAGCGGGGTTCGATAATGAGTGCCCCACACTCTGAGAACTCTGTCAAATTCCACCAGAAGAAGAAAAGAAGGAGAACAGTTGTGAAAAAAAAAAAAGATTATTAACATATATTCCTTACAATTTCACATACAGATTTGGGTCACTGAAAAACACTGCAGTTCAACCGAGATAGGCGCAATCACAAAACAAAAACATTTCACCTGTCCTTGGGTGGTTGCTGTAATATACAGTTAAAGATGCAATCAGTATGACTTTGTTTGCGTTTAGCAAACTCTTATTATTTTATTGATTTTGGCAACTGATGTCCTGCTCTTTATTGTCAATCGGTGTTAGACTGCTAATTGAGAGATTTTATCAATAGCGTGACACATGTCGATATGGAAGTGCCCATAAGCAGGCAACCAGTTCCACGTTGAATAAAATATGATTTTTTAGATGACTGAAGTGGTTGCTATTTACTTCTACATGAGTAAAACTCTTTAATTATCAAAAATTACTGAGTGCACCTTTAACCTAACACTGCGCTTTTCAGCCAAAAAAAATATACATATATATTGTATGTGTACCAACATTATAAATCTTGAATATTAATATTTAATATTTGTAAAAATTACTGAGTGCACCTTAAACACACACACATACATACATACATACATACATACATATATATATATAGCAATCTTCTTCTAATTTAAATACATTTGTTATTTGCAAGATTATGATCTTTAGTTGAATTGGCATATGAAGATAACTGAGGATATAGATCAGGTCATCATATAACACAATGAATATAATATGCACAAGGAAACAGTATGAGACACACTGCACACAACATGACAAGCTACATAGATACAGCAAATGGCAAACAAATATGATGCACAGGTCAGCATATGTAGTATATAACACACACATAACTGTATATGACAACCAAATACATGTGAAGCACGAAGGGTCAGTGGGCTGAAAGGAGTGTCCACAACCATAGGCTGCCAGATGGTAGCTTCAAAAGTGTTCAATAATCTAGAACACATTTTCACTTCTTACTAATCTAACGCTTCAAAGCCACACAATTTGTCCTTCTTCCAGACTGTCGCTGCTTGACCAGTCAGTTAGCCGCTCGGCTAGCGGACAGAGTGTCTCTCAAAGTTGCTGGGGCACAAATATTGCGTTAGCCCACAAACTGAGGATCAAGTCTTGTTATATACAATTGAGAGCATTTAATAAGACTTGTAATGAACTGTTATAATCTGTGACGGTTAGTTAATATAGTTTCAGCAGTTAAAGAAGGGTCCACCATTCGCTCACCGTCCCCCTCAGAGTGTCCAGCCTAAAACATGATCTAACGGCCAACTTTCCTTTATTAACGCTAAACTTTCACACAGTTTTCCCACAGAAAACATCTAATCTGGCGTCAAACTGTGGATATGGCGCAAATAACGGACACTTTGCTTTTATCACCGACACTCAGCCGCTGATGAAAATCGACCCGGTTCCGTTACAAAACGCTCGTGAGGGGTTTTCAGGCTCGCGCAGCTAAAGCTAATGCAGTTGCGCGCTTACCTCGAGCGGCCTCGCGGAATTTCTCTCTCATTTCCTCCCACTCTGTGCCTTTCGTTCGCATAAAATCGCTTCCTCCGGGGGTAATGTCCTATTCAGCTTTGTGTAAATGTCAAAAATACGTCTTGCTTCTTGTCTTAAAAAGACTTGACGACTAAGTACATTCTTACTCCCACAACAACGTCAACCAAGGCGCTACAAATCCGCCCATCTAAGGAAACTCAACTGGCCGTTTGGCCAATCAGAGAGAGAGTTGAGTTTGACAGGCACATGCGTGAGCCAATGGCGGTAGGAGTTTCATTTTAAGCTCCGCCTATGGGCAGAAAAGGGCAAATGTGAAGAGAGAGTGGGAGCTCAGTATTCCACGCTGGTTGGTTAACCACATTGTACATGATGGGCATCGGTTCGAAGAGCCTATGAAAGAAAATCGGACTTGAGTGACAGTGACAAAGCAGTAAGGAACAATTTTATTTCAAGGGGACCGTCTTAGTCATGATGCAAATTGCTGATGCTGGAAAAACGCCATCAGCATCTTGTCTGGCCAATTCCACGTTCTGTCAGCATGACCTCAGAAGTTATTTTTTCTTTGTGATAAATTAACGCCTATCATTTCAGTGGAAAGCTGTCCTAAAAACATTTCCTAATAGAGATATGACATTCCTCTGTGGTGTACATTCCAGAAAAAATAAGAGAAAAGCATATCAAATATTTGTATAATTAAAGTGAGCAATTAAATATGCAAATATCTAAACATCAAGTCATTTCATGTCCTATTTTTTAATTTAAAATACTGGTAAAAAAAAAGAACAATGTCAGTAAATACAAAAACATAAGAGTTAGATGGAATAACATCAAATTATTAAACTATTTGTGGTCAATATTAGTCAATGGATTAAAGTCATTGCAAAAATTTGCACATGACAGGAGGGTTAAAAAATTAATCTCAAAGAAACTCATGAATACTACACATGGCATTTGACCTCTGGGTGATGCTATTTTTATTTATACTATTTTGGTACTGCATTCATTTGGGTAAACTTGTAAATTCTTGGTAAAACTGTAATTGTAAAAAACAGAACGGGCTCAAATGCAAAGCATGGAACCAACAAAGATTTCAAACCAAATTAATTTATTGGAAATATACAAATCGCTACTCATAACAGGCTTCAAAGAGTGAATTACATGTCTACATACATTTTAAAGTGTACTGCTTTAAGTAAATAAAACCGTGGTGGAAATACCGACAGCTTCAACACATGTATGCTTCAGCAGCCTCTGTCATTCTTTAACAAAAGACCTACAGAAAGTTGTGAATAACTAACAATTAAGACAACCCCCCCCACTCAAAAACACTAAAATCCTCAATTTAAAGAGACACACGCCACTCCAATCTGACTCCGAACTATCTTGAAAAACAATGCCACTCTGGCTGGGAAACAGACACTGGAGTCAAAAACTTGAAAAATCAACGTCGCCGCCTGTCAGGGCTCCTGCTGCGTCTTCTTCCACCCCTAGAGGAAAGCACAACGGTCCATTAGTCATGCTGTATTACTGCCTGCATCATTAACAAATTCAATAGAAGACAGATATCCACTACAAATGAAGTTTGTGTGAGCGAGTGAAACGGTCCGAGTATATAAATGCAGTTTAACAGGATCAGGAACTGACTCACCTCCTCTTGCTCTTAGGGGGTCCTCTTACAAAGCACCAGTCAACGCTGATTGGTTGCCCCATAAGGTCCTGGCCATTCAGCCCTTCCATTGCTGCCTGGGCTTCTTTGTAGGTCTCGTACTCCACCAGTGCATAGCCCTATGAAAAACAAGTCTCATTATTTGCCAAGATAATGTTTCAAACAACACGACGCCCACAAAAGAGATGTTTTTCCATTGGGTTGCCTGGTTCCAGAACTGTCTTTCACATTCTTTGTCTTGAAACAGGCCAAACTAAACATTTTATGCATTAACATGTGTCAGCTTGACCCGAGAAAACAAACCTGATGGCAAAAACATGGACACATTTGATGATTGACCAAAGTGGGGTTCTCAATGGCAGAAATTGGCATTTGTTGACCGAGATTAGATGCGCACAAAACACAAGGTCTGAGTGTTCAAATTCACACTCACATGAGCTAAAACAGCTAAACAGAGCACAACTGAATGGACAAGGACACAGGGGTTGAGTTTTTCTTAGTTTAACTATTTTTAACATAATACTCCATATTAGACACATTGACCAAAGAACTTCATATGACATGTGCACATAATAAAATAGCACAAACTAAAGTTGCTTTCTCTCCCTCCCCACTGCTCAAGTTTATTGAAAGTGCTTAAATAGTCAAAATATTAAAGATGTGCAACCCTAGTCAAATGCAAAGCTGCTACAACCATACCTTAACCTAAAGGAAATCTCTCGTTATGGAAAATAACATTATAAACATTGTCTAAGTTAATTACGGGAATGCTTAAAAACAAGAAAGCATCAATATTATATGAATCACCAACTAAACTCATGGTCTTTTTGAGATTGTGTTGTTTAAAACACTGCCATCTGGTGGAAAAACTCAAGCACATTCCGGTATAAAATATTCATAAGATCACATAAGAGTGATTATATGTTGTCCTAAGACAAGAACTCATTTTGGTTTTTGGTTTAAGGACAACTTTGACGAAAGTTTTTGATCCACTTCAAATGTTGACTACTGTATTTTTGTTGTCATAGACAAGTGGTCCTTCAAAAAAAACAAACAATTAAATGATGCAAACGTGCAACATATCAAATTTTCATTTACAGACATTTCACTGAACAAGAGGGGGGAAAACTGCCAACCAACCTTAAGGTAACCAGTTCTTCTGTCCAAATTTAAATGCACGTTTTTAATCTCTCCATACTCCGCAAACTTATCGTGGACATCCTCTTCCGTCGCCTCTTCATGCACACCAGTCACAAACAGAATCCATCCTTCAACAGCTGTAATGACACCAAAAATGTAAAAAAAAAATCGCAGCCACTTGAGTTCTATCATCATGAGGTCACAGAGGTCAAGTGAGAGAGTTCAGATGCTATGTAGTTCTGAGAATTACACTCACATCTCTGTGGCCCAGGCTCATCTCCATCCTGTTCTACTGTGTCATAGTCCTCTCTGACTCTAGATCTCGCTCCCTCCTCTGTTAAATAAAGCAGCGAACAACATTAGCACGATTTATTAAGACGCAAAAACACAAGATTGGAGATGAGGTCACTTACCTGATCCAAACCCACGACCCTTCCTCTTCTTGGCTTTCTCTTTTAACTTGTGAATGCTCTCTGTAAAGACAACAAAGGAAAATAATCACTCTTACCATGCATTCGAAAGTACTGAACTAACGTTTTTAAAGACAACTTTATGAGAACATAAAAATAAACTAAAACACAACACCGCAATGGAATACTGTCTTTAAAAATGAAGCACTAAAACACAAATGCAATGAGCCTGCGTGCTTACCGAGTACACAATATTTATTTATTTAATTATTTTTGGCCATGATAAACATGAAAAAAGTAACACGTGTTAAAGCTAAAACCAAAGCACGGCAACAAAATAAAGCATTATCACAACAGCGCGCGATTCGTTTGAATTAGCTAACTATTAGCAGGCGCGCTAATCGGAATAGGCCCGCCGGATATAAACACGAGTATTTCATACATTCAACACCAATAAACAGGTGAATTCTGGCTATATGAAATAAATAAACTGTCTGTGCACCGTTTGAATATAAATAGCCACTGTACCGTCGCCATCCTCGTCCATAGGAAAGTCTTCACCTCCCGCTTCATGAAGATCCAGTACATCCGCCATGACGCCTGATTGTGAGCAGAGTGAGTGAACGTGGCTGCGAGCATGCGCAGAACACTCAATGCGACGCTGCGTCTTGTTCGACTTGTGTGCGTCACATGCAGTTCGAGTACTACGCCATCTGTTGTTTTGGAGGAGACAGTAGCGTCGCTGAAACAATTACACAACCCAATATAGATAACAAACAAGAACAAATAGGGCAGGAATTAAACATTTTATTAAATAAACATACAAAACACAAATAAACTATAAACGAAACTTTTATTTATTAATTACTACAGCTAAAAAAAAGATGCCTTGGTGTCTTTTTTATTTAGCGAGTCTCTGATAGGCTACTGTCACTTCAATTTAGACACAATTCTAAAAAGATTGAATTAATGAAACTCTTTATCATCCTCCTTAATACATTATATATTGTACTTATACTGAGGGGAAGTCGTGGCCTAATGGTTAGCGAGTCGGACTCGTAACCCAAAGGTTGTGGGTTCGAGTCTCGTACCGATTGTAGGTGGGGGGAGTGAATGTACAGCGCTCTCTCCCACCTTCAATACCACGACTGAGGTGCCCTTGAGCAAGGCACCGAACCCCCAACTGCTCCCCGGGCGCCGCAACATAAATGGCTGCCCACTGCTCCAGGTGTGTGTTCACGGTGTGTGTGTGTGTGTTCACTGCTGTGTGTGTGCACTTTGGATGGGATAAATGCAGAGCACTAATTCCGAGTATGGGTCACCATACTTGGCCACATGTCACGTCACTTATATAATTGTTCTTTCTGTTCTACTGTCATATATATATATATATGTGTGTGTGTGTGTGTGTGTGTGTGTGTATATGTCTGAATGTATGTATGTACCACAAAGGTAGGCCTATGTATGTACCAAGAGTTCCTAAAAACCACAAAAAATTATTTGGCAAATAAAGCTAATTCTGATTTAACATATTTTATACAACACTGATGATAAAGTTCGTAATTCACGATAATCTAAATCTACTTTAAACAAGGCCCAACATGATCTGAGCGTAAAGTTCAGTGTTTGTTTCTAACGTTGTACTCTAATAATCCCTTTATTAGGCAAATGGAGACAAGATAACCAGGAATACCTGACTGTAGATATTCTCCCCACTCCACAGTCTTAGATAAACCCAATCAGTTTGTGATAGAATAACAGCTGAGATGGACAGTGTGGACGTGTAAGTCAAAGCATGTGATCTGATGTCTCCTAATTGTTTGTCATTACTTTTCTTCATTCAAAGTCGACTTAGCCTACTATGCCAATCTTTTAGAGGCCAAGGAACTCATAAAATGATCATGGCAGTTTGAGGGACCCCAACCCTAATTTTTTTTAAATATATTTGGAAAATATTTAGTTTTTATTACATTACATAACTTTTTTTTCTATTCACTATTGTACTCTTAGATTTATGTATGTATATGAATTAAATCGAATGTTTTATGTATTTAACCTAATTTATTTAGTGAATCAAATTGATTTATTTACCTTAATTTTATTTTTTATCACTTTTTTACTTTTTTCCCCACACTAACTTCACTGACTTTTCCACGGGCCCTCTGCACTCTTTACGACCTCTGATGGTCCCCAGACCCCAATTTGAAAACCAATGATGTCTATGAAATTTATGAAACTCTACATCATAGATTTATTAAGGATTATTAGGATTAGGTTTCCATGGACTATTAAAAGTAGGAACATCTAGTAAAATAAATAAAGAACTATTCACTCAAGTAAGACTTGTTGAGACTGTTAGTAAGGTTGTATGGGTCATACACAGTATAACCTAGATTTACCTTTCCAGTGTTCTGAGAGTTTAAGCACCATAAAGACAAAGATATTGAAATGTGCTTCATTGATGAATTAGGTATAATTCTTTTAATATATTTAATATTCCCTCAATATATCCTCGCATAAAAGTAATCACATGAGGTGATTTGAAACATCACAAAATGCATCATTTGAGCACAAAGAGTAAAAGAGATTACTGCTGAACTTTGATTCAATCACTTCAGTGTCAGGTAGAGCCTAAAGGTTCGTTGTGTGTGGATGATTTCATCAGCACAGGTCACCCTTTGAACTTGTCCCAGGACTATATAAACCCATGGCGCTTTGGAGAACACACCATCAGCTCTAAGAACCCCTGGAAGCAAGGTAAGATTACAGCTACATTATATGCATGGTCATGTCAAACTCTGCTGTTGATTCTTAATGTACATTTATATGACCAGAAACTGAAATTAATTATTTGCTCTTTCTGTTCAGGAAAATCTTGCTCAACCTGCAACCATGAAATTCTCAGTCATCGCCGTCCTTGTCGTTACTCTGGCCATTGGTGAGACTTTACACCATGTTAACTTGTGATGCTCTCAAGATATTTTGTTTTGTAGTATGGTAACTGAGTTAGTTTAGGGGTTACATAAACAAACTATAACAATGTGTGCGCTGGGTATTTTATTAGTACTTAACATAACAGAGTCTTTCACCTGATTTAGCTTGAGTGGCTGAGAGAAAAGATGCAAGACTGCATTGATCAAGCATCTCTGTTCATGTTCCAGGCTCTGAGTCAGCTTCTCTGGTCAAGAGAGACGCTCCTGCTGAGCTGGATAAGATCGCCAAGTACTTCCAGGATCTTGTGGACAACCTGAAGAACATCGAGGGCACTGAGCTGGCCAACAAGGCCAAGTAAGTCCATTATCGTCATCCACTGTGGTGGTGGAAACTTCTTCTCAACTGTGAACTTAAATGATCAACACAATGATACATTTGAATTGATTTTATTAATGAATTCTCTTTGGTTTGTGTTGTAGCGTTTACTTTGAGCAGAGCAGAGCCCAGCTCCAGCCCATGGTTGAGAAGCTCCAGGAGCAGCTGAAGCCCCTCTCCAGCAACATTGAAGACCACATCAAGCCTCTGGCCGCCTCCGTCCAGGCTCAGGTCGCCCCCCTGGCCGGCTTGGTCCAGACCCATGTTGAAGACGTCCTCAAGTTTGTGGCTGACCAGACTAAAGCCATCCTGCCTCCCCAGTAAAACCATTCCTTAGTTCTTTTCCATTATGACACAGTCTCTTTGTATGTATGCTGGTATGTTTGAAATAATAAAAAGGATTAAAAACTGACCACTCTGTACTGGCTGGTTATTCACTTGTCTTACATTGTCTGTGAACAATATGACATTTGAACACCTTTTAATTTTTATTTAAAATGTATTTATTTTTTTTTAGAAAACGACCCAATTCCCAACACTTATTGTGAGAAATAATGTAAAACAAAATAGGGATTTTTTGTAAGGCTGTAATTTTTAAATATAGAGTGGGTGATGATTTGAGGGTAGCATGTTTAATACTTTGTTAAGTTTTATTATTTCGTTAACAAATAAGATAACTCAGGGACTGGTTGCATAAACTGCTTCGACTAGTCTTAAAAAGTTAGACATAATTTTTTTTCTTCAAAACTGGTCATCATTTTCTATAGTTACTATAGTTAATCACAAATTAACCATGGTTTTGCTACACTAACCATAGATTAACCATGGTATTAGTAGTAAAACTGCGGTTATACAAATGATATCAATACAATAATAAAACACACACACACACGGTTACTACACTTTTACTATAACAAAACCATGGTTAATTTTCATAAGGGACAAAATTGGTCTAATCTGAATCTGAAAGGTGTAACTGATTAGGTAGGCTACCCTTTGCATAACTAGTTGGTCAAATATATACTGGCTATGTTTATGCAATTAGGCCCAGGTTATTTTTAAGTAGCTATGGTAAGAGATATATAAGAATCATATCAACTGGCTTCAATAGCCTACTTTAACACCAAAAACAGTTTACTTCTCAGCTGATATTTTTCCATTACGTATGATTTTGTATCAATCATAATTATTGCCTGCCCTTTTGAGGTGTTGACACGAGCGAGCAGACAACACAATTTACCTAAATTCATTATTTCAGACTCATGTGCCCTCTAGAAGCTTGCGTTCTGCAAGTGAACGTCGCTTTATTGTGCCATCCCAAAGAAGCACAAAATCACTTTTATGGACTTTTAAATTAAATGTTCCCTCCTGGTGGAATGACCTGCCCAACTCAATCCGAGCAGCTGAGTCCTTAGCCATCTTCAAGAATCGGCTAAAAACACATCTCTTCCATCTTTATTTGACCCTCTAACTCTAGCACTCTCTATTCTAATTCTATTCTCCGAAAAACAAAACAAAAACAAAAAACACTTGTCACTTTTAGACTTGCACTCTATTCATTTGCTGCTTGTTTTCTTTAAAAAAAGAAAAAGAAAAACAAACACTTGCTTTCGAATCTTTTTGTATTCTATCTGTTTTCTTTTCATTTATTATACAATTAACAAAAGCAAAAAGACCTCGAACAATAGCTTGCTTTATTCTTTTTCTATTCTATCTATTTTCTTTTTATTTATTATATTATAAAAAAAAAACCTTGCTACGTGTACTGCGTTAAGCTAACTGAGACTTGTTATAGCACTTGTATATCATTGTTCTTTTGTTGATTTTGATTGCTTCCATTGTCCTCATTTGTAAGTCGCTTTGGATAAAAGCATCTGCGAAATGACTAAATGTAAATGTAACAATAAATCGCATGCGCAGAGCTAGTGTTCGCCCACAAATTTGGAAGTAGCCTAGGCTACGCTTGTTACATCGAACACATTCACTAATAAAACAGTGCGACTTGTGAAAAGGGCTATTTTAGCTCAGGCACCGTTTGTGCTACAGATATAGATGATAGGCTACCTCAAATCATATGATCATATAACAATCATATAAACTTTATGGGAAGTCGTGGCCTAATAGTTAGAGAGTCGGACTCGTAACCCAAAGGATGCAGGTTCGAGTCTCAGGTCCGGCAGGGATTGTAGGTGGGGGGAGTGAATGTACAGCGCTCTCTTCCACCTTCAATACCACGACTGAGGTGCCCTTGAGCAAGGCACCGAACCCCCAACTGCTCCCCGGGCGCCGCAGCATAAAATGGCTGCCCACTGCTCCGGGTGTGTGTTCACGGTGTGTGTG